TTTATATAATAATTAGCATTATCACAATTTCATATAATACTTGCTTAGTTATTTGCTTTATTTCCTTAATTACTTGTTTAGGGGCGTGGTCCTCTTCTTTTCTGTTGCATTTGCCTTTCTCTCCCTGCTATAGAGAGGTGGGGAGAATGGAACAGATTAGTTTTTGACTAATCTATTGCATTGTAAAAATTGTTCCTACTCGATTTTCAGCTCCTTCGCAATGGAGGAGGAGCAACCTTTCCAGCAACCACACTCGGATGACAGTCCACGCAACAACACAACCATCCCCTGAACCTGGATCATGTCCATGTCAATGGAGAAAGGACACATCCGCAATGGTCCCATTTCTCGGTTTTTGATTAGGAATCTAATGAAGAAGAGCTGCTCGAAGAATTTCTACATCGCCTCCGACCGAGTAAGGATCATCTTTACAGTGATTGTAAGGTAGAGATTGATATTCCCTACTTCGATGGCCACTGCATATCCAAGATTACTTGGATTGGGAGCAGTCGTGGAAGCATTCTTCTAGTTTATGGATGTTGATACTGAAAAACAAGTGGGCTACGTCAACTGTAGATTGAAAGGGAGAGCGGGGGCTTGGTGGTAGCAAGTGACACAATCTCACTAGAGAGAGGGAACAAGACTCATTAAATGCTGGGCTCAGATGAAGCAATTTCTACGCCATTTTTTATCTTTGTGTTATGAACAGATTTTGTATGTGAAATTCCAAAGATCTGGCCAAGAAAACCAGTCAGTCCCTACACTGAGGAATTCCACCATCTTAGTGCCTGTAACAATCTTCGTGAATCTAACCAACAAATTGTGATTTGTTATATTGAAAGATTGAATGAGGCTATACAAGACAAATTGGAGATGAATGTTGTGTGGTCGCCATTGCAAGCAATAAATTGCTACAATGCTGAGCTTCAGTTAAACAAGACTCCTTGCTCATTTAGCCATCGAAAGCCAGCAACTGAATTTTCCATAGATGGTGGTAAGGGACCTCCTCAGAACAATCGACCCACCCCAATTCCTACGCCCAATTCGGTTGCCACATCCAATGGAAGAGAAATTAATTGGCAAAATGGTGAATCATAAATATAGTTATATTAGCGACCGGGACCCATGAAGTGTTTTAGATGTTTTCAATCCAACCATCGATCTAATGAATGACCAAAATGAAGAAAAATTCAACTTGCAAAAGAGGAGGGAGATAGTGATGAAGATTGTCCCAAACATAATCCATTCAAAGAAGGTGAAGTGGAAGAGATTCCTATCGATGAAGGGGAGATCTTAAACTGCATTCTAAAAAATGAGCTACTCGCTCCGAGACAACCTATTAAATCCCAACACAATACTATTTTTTGGACGAGATGGACTGTCGAAGGTGAAATGTGTGAATTAATTGTGGATAGTGGGTGTATCGAGAATGTGATACATAAATCTGTTGTAAAGACCTCAAAAAAAATCACCAAACATCCCCAGTCATACAATGTTAGTAGAATTAAAAAAAGGAGTCGAGGTTATAGTGACAAAATTGTGTAAGGAGATGTTTTCTATTGGGAAGAACTTGTGACGTCATCGATATGGATGTATGTTACTTGATTCTGGGTAGGGCTTGACAATTTGACCTGGGCTTTTGGTATGATGGCCGATAACATTGTTACCTTTTGCACCATCTCCGACCCCCTGATGCAACCGATAAATCTGAAAAATTTGCATATTTGGTTGTCTCTGGTTCCGAATAGTTGAATATTTGCAGTGAACGTGACATAGCATATGCGGTTCTAGTAGCTGAACAAAATTCGACTCCAAAATAGGTGCACCCTTCAGTTGAAGCCCTAATCCAATAGTTTTGGATGCCTCACCTTATGAATTGCCTGATCAATTACATCCTCTGAGAGCCATTCAACATCATATTGATCTAATTCTTGGATCCGATCTACCAAACCTTGCCCATTAACGGATGAGCCCCAAGGAACACCATAACTTTAAGACATAGTAGAAGATTATTACAATAGAACTTCATCCGCTATAGCATGAGTCATTGCGCGATACCGGCATTGATTGTGCCCAAAAAAGATAGTTCTTGGAGGATGTGTATAGACAACCATGTAATTAATAAGATCACAGTAAAATTTAGTTTTCCAATGCCTAGTATGGAAGACTTTTTACATAAACTTGCAAGGGCTGTCATTTTCTCTCAATTGGACATGAGGAGTGGGTAACAACAAATCCGTATCCGCCAGCGTGAGGAATGGAAAACGACATTCAAAACCAACAAAGATCTATACCAATGGCAAGTTATATCTTTTGGTTTTTGCAACGCACCAAGTACTTTCAGAAGGTTGATGCATAAAGTTGAGAAAATTTTTATTGGTCAGTGTTGTCTCGTCTATTTTGATGATATTCTAGTGTATACTTAGTCGCTAGAGTAAAACTTGGGACATTTGAAGTCATTGTACACCACTCTCCAAGATCATAAATTATTTCTTAATTTATAAAAGTGTGAATTAATTTTAATGGAAGTTCATTTTCTAGGCTTCAACATAGGGCAAGCAGACGTAAAGGTGGATCCTAAAAAGATAGAATGTATTCAATCGTGCCCAACACCCAAGTTAATGACAAGAGTCCACAGTTTTTATGGATTTGCCAACTTTTACAGGCATTTTATATGAAATTTTAGTACAATTACTGCACCCCTAACTGATTGCCTTAAATAAAAAAAATTTTATTGGGGTCAAGAACAAGTGAGTTTTCTTAATTTGAAAAAATATTTAAATTTAACTCCTATACTTAGTATAATAAGTTGAAATTGATGCGTCAACGGTACGAATTGGCACTATTCTATCACAAGCGGAGAAGTCGGTGGAGATCTTAAGCGAATTGCCCAGCATGACAAGCTAAAGGTGGTTTACATATGAAAAGGAAATATATAAGGTTATATGGGCATTAAAGACTTAAAAATATTACTTAATACATCAAGAATTAATAAAGTTTAGTGACCATCAACCCTTATAGTTCCTACAAGAGCAGAAAATCTCAATCGGATGCATGTTCGGTGGGTTTTGTTCTTGCAAAAATTTAGTTTTTTGATGAAACATCGTGTCGATCACTCCAATCAGGTAGCGAACACCTTGAGTTGCAGAGCAAGCTTGTTAGTTGTTATCCAAACTAGCATCACAAGTATGTAAACTTTACGAGATTTATACCATGATGATACAAATTTCTCTGTTGCTTGGATTAATTGTAAGCAACACTCTCCTCAAAGAGATTATTCTATTCAACAAGGTTATCTTTTAAAAGGCAACCAATTGTGTGTTCCTAAAACTTACCTTGGACAATAAATTATTCAAGATTGTCACAGAGAAGGACTGACAACTCATTGAAGCAGGGTCCATACTGTCAAACTTGTGCTATCTAAATATTTTGGCCTAGGTTAAGAAGATACGTGTGAGGGTTTATGGAGAATTATTTGGTATGTTAAATTTATAAGGGCACGAGTTAGAATATCAGACTAGTCCTACCATTATCAATTCTACATTCTATTTGGGAAGATCTTAGCATCAATTTTATCTTGAGCCTACCTCGCATCAAACACGGATCCGTCTCCGTCATGGTAGTTGTTGATCATTTTTCCAAAATGGCTCATTACATTGCTTGCAAGAAAACTTACGATGCTTCCAACATTGCTCAGCTCTTCTTTAAAGAGATCATACACCTACATGATATCTCGATGAGCGTCACATCTAATTGTGACGTCAAATTCATAAATTGTTTCCAAAGAAAATTATAGAATGACTCAAGACAGACCACTGCTTGAGCTCGGCATATCATCCCCAAAATGATGAGCAAACTGAGGTCGTCAATCGATCTTTAGGAAATATGATTCGTTGTCTTGCAAGTAATCAACTGAAACATTGGGAAGAATAATTGGGTTAAGCAACATTCACTTTTAATTATTTGGTTAATCGTTTGGCGGGTTGCTCTCCCTTCAACATTGTATTTTATTAGGGAACCAATCCTCTTACTTGATGTTGCCATCATTCCGAAGCCGAAAAGCAACAGTGCTTAAACATGAGTGAACAATTTTGAATCCATGCTGCGGGAAGTCGACGATAAGCTCACAATTTCGTCAAAAAATTACAAACAAGCTGATAAAACCCTAATGCACAAAATATTTCGAGGAGTTTATTCTAGGTTAAACCCCCATAAGATTGGACCATTCCCAATTAGTAAATGCACAAATGATAATGCTTATATACTTAAATTGGCCCCAGACCTCAATATTTCATCGACATTCAATGTGTCTGATCTATATGTTTATCATCCACCTCACGAAGGGGTAACTCGAATTTCTGACTCGAGTCAACTTCTTCGGAAGTGGAAGAGAATTGAAGCAGCTAGCAACAACTAAACATCTGTGGCTTTACCAATCAGATATATAGTTCTATATAATAATTAGCATTATCTAAATTTTGTATTATACTTGCTTATTTATTTGTTATATTTTTTTTAATTACTCGTTTAGGGGTGTAGTCCCCTTTTCATGCAATTTTCGACTCCTCTCCCTGCCATCGAGAGGTGGTGGGAATGGAGCAGATTAGTTTTTGACAAGTCTTGTGATTTACAGAAATTTGGCTTTCTTCTTCTCCTGTAGTTTCCTGCTTGTGCCTGCTCGTTTTTTGCTTTTAATCCTTCAGTTCTGCACCATCTTGTCTGTTCGTACGAACTCAGTAGTATACCAATCTTTATTATAAAAGAATCAAGCAGATTAATTATCTTTCCATGACATAAATTCAAAACAAAATAAGAAGTATCTTCTAGCGACTAGTTTAACCAACTGAAGAAATCAATGAAAAAATTAGATACTATGCATCATTACCTCAGAAACCTAAAACCGATTTTATATTTTCCATAGGAAAATTGAAAAACTAGGACAAAATGACATGATCTCATCAATTAAATAAGTGCAATCTAAAGCAAAGCAAAACAATCCTTAAATTTTGAATTAATAGGGGGATAAATCAATCTATCTCTTGTAGCAGTACAATAGGCTCAAGTAAGACTCTGTATCATAACCCAAAAGAGGGAAAAAAAAAAATGCCACAACATAACTGAACAATCTATGAAATTACTGAAGGTTTTCTTCATCTCAATCGAAATTTCTCTCGCACAACAAGTTCCCAAATCAATTAAAGCTTCGAAGGATGAATAGTATCTAACCAGTGTAGATATGGACGCCTATGGCGATGAGGAATATCGTTATAAGAGCGAAAAAAAGAATGGTATGTATGAATATGGAGAGGCCGCTCGTCTTCATGCTATTGAATTCGATCACCCTTCCGCTTCCAGGAAGCTGGAACAGAAGTCCAGGCGTCAACAGAACGAAGAGCACCACAGCAATAACAACCGGACCCCAATCCGCCATCTTCCTTCCTTCCTTTCTGCGAGTGAAGTTGAGCGAGGTGGAGAGAAGGGTGAAGGGATTAATATAAAATGAAGGATGGCGGGGAGTTCCAGGCGGATGATTAAAAAACTAGCAGCTTCGCACGTGGTGGGGTGGCGAGGGATGGCCTGCAGGCTGCCGCAGCTGTTGATGGGCTGTTATAATGTTTTTATCCGGCTGTTTTTATGACTAAGAAAATTGTTAGATAATGATGTTTGTTAACTTTATTTGTATGCATTGATAAAATATTATAAAATTTAAGTTTAATGAAGAGTTGGATATGTAAATGTATAAGAATTGTGATTTGTACACAAATATTTCTTAATTTTGTTAAAATAAAAATAAAAATTTTGACCCAAGTTTAGATGTATATGAAGGAGATGGCCAATTCTTCTTCAGCTATTAGTTGATATAATCCCTAAATCTTGAATATTAATCCAAGCTAAAACCAACAAAGAAAAATCTCCAAGAACTGACACTAATTTTGCAGCAAGAAAATCCAAAGCAACAAAAGAGCAAATCAGAAACATCATTCAGTCCCTGATTTCAGAAAAGAATTCATATTGATTTAGATTAAAAGAAGGCCAAAAGAGCACAGATAAGCAAGCCTCCTCTCAACTCAGAAGACCCCATCCAGGACTGCAAGTAATCGAGATTGCATAATTAGATGAACAGTCTCCAAAATATTTAACCCAAATCAGCACTAGTGGCAGCACAATGGAATTCAAAAAAAAGTATAACAGAGTAACCAACTGCAGATTTCACCCCTAGATGTTCCGTAAAACAACAAAATTCAGCAAAGTTAGTCTTAATGTGCAGCCCAGATGAAACAAGAAGTTTGTTGAGCCATAATGAAGAGAAAGGGGCACAACATTGCCAAAAAAAAATACCCAACAAAACTATCCAGCCAAAACTGTAAGGCCAAAACTAATGAGATAGAATTGACCAAATTAATCATAAAATAAGAAGGAAACCATCAAATACTAAATGAAGGTGTCCTCTTTAAACTTCTATCTTCTATCATCATATACTGTATAAAATTATTATAAATGAAGGTGTCCTCTTTAAACTTCTATCTTCTATCTTTCAACTTTGTATCTTCTTGAATGTTCAGAATGAGATGATAAATATAAGAAGAAGAGTTTATAGAAACTCTGAAATTATTTTCCCTCCAATTGAAATAAACAGAAATGTGCAAAGCCAACAAGTAATACTTCATAATTATCTTGGAGGTAATACTTTCAACATCAGAAAGCCCTTGTTAAACATTTCCCACTTAAAGAAAGAAGCTTCCATAAGGAATGCATTTTTTTAAAATTGAATAAGCATAATGACATTCAAAGAAAAGATGTATGTCTCAATATCTGCTAAACATAACAAACAATCTCTACTAACTGAATAATTTTACTGGTTTTTAAGTCTTCTAATAGAGTTTTCCAGACAATAGAAGCAAATTTAACAAAATGCTTTTTGAACCAAATATACTTACTCTAATTATCCACAAGGGTACTCTCATAAGCATAATTGTAAATAAGCATATGATTTAGATTATTAGTACCTTTCCAATGGCAAACCGTATTACCATTCACTATTGGAATACTTAAAATAGATGTAATACAATGCATAGGAATATTATCAAAATTGAGAAAATGCCACATATCATTAACCAAAACCTCTCTAATTATGAGAAAAGGAAAGAGTTGAGACCAGTAAAAAATATGATGGACAAATTTTTCAAATAAAGAAGAAACATTAAACCATGGATCATAAATGAAAGATAAATTGTTATTGCTAGAAGCCTTGATGCTAATAGATCAACCAGAAATGGAAGATTTTATTATTTTTATTAACCCATAAGAAACCATGATGAACAAAGCACCTAGCAACTAATAAGAGTTGGTTGTTATAAAATCTCTAGAAGGGTTTAGATTTACACTTTAGTTTAAATGTGTCAAGATTAGTAAAACAAGACAACCAAATTGGTTGGGTTTGGAGGAAATTAACCAATCAATAGTATAAAGCTTATTAGAAGAGACACTATTATTAAGAAAACTATTACACATTGAAGTGATCTTTTTCGTGTGCCCTTTAGGAATAATAACAGATCTAAACCAGTAATGTAAATAACTCCACAAAATATAATTTAGAAATTATAATTTGCTGCCATCAAAAGTGAGACATGTGAGCTTCCATTCAGAAAACTAATAATGAATTGTGTCCATCAGCTTTTGACAATAAACTGAAAAGCCAAGTAATTGCAAGGCAGGCTTAAGAGAAAAGCCACTCACATCACAAATGCGTCTTCAAAACTTTACAGATCTTTAGACAAATTTTAAATTTTTAATCTTTATTTTAATGGAAACATCTGCATTTTTTTCATAATATCATATTTAGCATTTTAGCAGTGAAATAATGTTGTCTTGACTGCTTCATTTGATTAATAATGCTTGTCATGAGCCTAAACATGATAAATTTTTGTTAAGAAAAAAAAAACAAATGTAAGCACACACCCTTCAATTTCCTACATAGATACATATCATATATTATAAATTTTAATTTTTACATATATACCACAAATTCTATGCTGAAAAAATATATTCACTTTTTAAACATAAGTAATAATACTTCTTAATGTAATATGAAAGATCTGAGCAGTATAAATATAAAGATTAAAGTTTAGATTTTATATATAAAAACGTATAGGAATTGGGTCATATGTATGTAAATGTCCCGTTTTAAATGTAGAACACTTGTTCAAAAAAGTAAGAAATTTCCTTATTAAAAAAATATTAGTTTGACAAAATAGTTATATCAAAGATTATACAATTAAGTTACATTTCTCATTAAAGTACATCTTTTATTTTTAAATTTAATCAGATTTTTTTTTTCAAGTAAAACAAAACTTGTCCAAGGAAAATTAAAATACATAATTTAGTTGATTGAGAAATGCTAGCTTATTCCAATTTTTTCAAAGTTGAGATATTCAAAATTCAATAGCTCAATTAAAATTAAATTAAGAGTTGAATACCACATAATAAATAATAAATTTATTTTAATATTATTTAGATGAAGTAATACAAAAACAAATAATGATTTTCTATTAGTTAAATATACACACTCTATTTAGGAATATTTCATTCTTATATTGTTTTAATATGATTCTAAATGAATTTTGTTTTTTAGAAATAATGTTTAAATTATACTCATTTTTAATCTAAATATTTTTTGGCTTTCCATGGTGTCAAAATAAAAAAGTAAAATTGTCGAATTTTTAAATCAAGTGATTTTCAAAGATCAAACCAATCATTGATTCAACTTTGGTATATTGTAAAAGCAAATTTAGACCTTGGTTGAATCATCTGAGGAATCAACTTACATATGAATATCTTACAGATCGATGCAAATAAATTCTTAAAGCCATTTGTTTTTTTTTTCTGGACATTGGTTTAAACATTATTATTCTTTTATAAATGAGCCATATTAGAATTGAAAATTTTGAATTTATTTATTTTGTATTTATATTTGGCACATATATCCACTATATTTTATTTGAAAAATATGAGAAAACATTACTTTAAGATGAGAATGTCATTGATATTGAAATATTAGTAATGGTGCATTAAGGCCTCCCAAATACATAAACAAAGAAGTTGTTGAAGCTACTCTTTGAAATGCATTCTCCATCTCTAACAACCCCAGATAACTTCAAAATAATTCATAATGATGCCTCTCCATCAGAATCCATCTCCAATCTTCTATTTAAGTTTAGTAATGATATATATTTTCTTATTTTTTAGGTTTGAATTCATAATCTTTTCCATAATCAACAATCTTAAATTACAGAAGAGTGCATTAAAGCCTTCCAAATACCTAAACAAAGAAGTTGTTGAAACTACTCTTTGAAATACATTCTCCATCTCTAACAGCCCCAGATAACTTCAAAATAATTCATAATCATGCCTCTCCATCTGAATCCTTCTCCAATCTTCTATTTAAGTTTAGTAATGATATGTATTTTCTTATTTTTTTTGGTTTGAATTCATCATCTTTTCCATAATCAACAATCTTAAATTACAGAAGAATAAGATAATAGAGTGCCCTAAGCTCAAAAATTGGTTCAAAACCTTTGTGCAGTAAATAAATTTATTAAATGTTTACTTATGGTTTGAAAATCTAAAGAAAATTTAAGTTTGGGCAAGGTCCAAACATGTAAGAGAAAGTTCATGCTTTCTCTAAACCTTCATCAGACACTATTTAAACCTTTGCAAAATAATCTGAACGTAATGTTTAATTAGCCTAAAAAA